CTTATGCCTTCATTTTACCTCAATTACTCCACAAAGGCCCCATCTCCAGATGCAGTCACATTGGGGGTTAGGACTCCCTGTCTGGGCTCACAGGCCTTGCTGCTTACAAGCTGTGTGACCTTGGTCAGGTCTCTGTCTCCTGAGGCCTCCATCTTCTCCTTCTAGAGTGGAGATAATGGTTCTGCCTCATAGGCTCATTTGCCCAGTGGGTACGACTTATTGAGGGCCACCTGTGAGCCAGGCACCTGAGTCTTGGGGATGTGCATAAGGGACAGCAAATACCTTGGGCACGAGGACAAAATCAGATCATGGATCTTGAGTGACACCACCGTCCTTATCCAGAGGCAAGGCTCAGTGTAATGTTGTATTAATATTTTACTCTTTAAACAATAGTGCATACTTTATTTTCAGTAACTTAAAATGAGGAAGAGGCAACCTGGGGCTGGTCCCTGGTGATCAGAATGGGTCTCTGGTGACGGCTCAAAGCGGGGTGTGGTCCAGGGCACAGAAAGAACCCAACGGGAGGGCACTTACCCTAGCATTTCACATCAGATTTTTCAGGGACAGATTTCATCTCTAAAACTAGTACTTGATATTATAAGAGCATATAGGTTGAATGAACTTATGTTGGCATTTCAAAGGAGGCCAGTGGCTTAAGAGTCCCAAAGTGAGTTCTGTGACTTACTCATCTTTCATCCACATCTGAAGTTGTGTTTGGAATAACAGATGTGAGGCACTGTCATCTCACTGTCACATCGATTGCTCACTGTTCTGAGAAGGTCACATCATCATTCATTAGCAATAATTAGTCCCCGGGGACCCCCTGCACTTCTTCACTCAACTGCTCCATTAACTTGGGTGCGAGTCACACGTTCCAGGTGCCAATCAGTGGAGATCTATCCATAATGTACAAGGTGATGCTATTAGTTACAATATATTAACTGCCTAATTTAAAAATTAAAAAAGCCATCTTTATGAAGGGCAATTAACCACTAAGTGTAATTGATAATTCATAAACCTCTGATTAGGAAAGACAAATAGTAAGAAAGGAATGAATCACTTGTGCTATTGAAGAAGACGTTGCCGGCCTCTTGTCTGCATTCACTATGTGGTCAGCAGATCTACACGTTTCTTCCTAAATTGCACCTGTCAGCTCCACGACTGGGGGTCTGGAGGCTTATTTCAGCGCAGAAACATGTTTTTCATCACTGAGGCCTGTCTGTTTCTGGTGGGGGTTGTAAGGAGGCTGCAGGCTCAGGACACCCTCAGGGAATTCGCGGGTGAGGTCATTTAGACTTCTCCATCAGTCAGCCGTTCAGCAAATGTTTATGGGGGATTGTGAAGTGCCAAGCCCTGTGGGAAGCCCCAGGGATGCCGTGGAGACCCGAGCAGATTCATGCCTAAACTCCTGGAGTTCGGAGGCCAGTAAGAAACACAACAGATGCATAAATCAGATGACTGGAGACACTGGTTAGTGTTATAAACAAAAACTGACAGGGTGTGGCAATGTCACTCAGGATGGTGGGAGGAGGGGACATCGGCCTGAGTCCTACCAGCTTTTCCCAATAGCTGTCATTACCACTCAGGGCTGTATTTGGGGCCCTCCCTCAGTAGTGGGGAATCGTGCCTGGCTTATCTGCCTGATGTGTCCTTTCCCTGCACTTATGCAGGAGAAGCTCCAGATGCCATTTCCTGTTGTCTGGGACTCCACTCTGTGAGTAGATATTCAGATCCA